TCATTGAAAACTCCCTGAATATCATTTTTTAAGATTTCCCAACAATCTTGATAAAAATCCATCGTGAATCCATTAGGCTTAGGAGCTTTAGATCTATCCATAGAAAAAATAGCTTCTTTGATTTGTTCCCATTCAAAACTCCTCTCCAACCAAACTTTAAAATCTCCTGATAACCTTGGCCCCTCCAGCCCATCAAGCCACACCCTACCACTTAGAGACCTCTTGAAGATATGCTTGAAATGATCCACCAAAGCCTTGGCAATCTCACTTTGTTGGGTAATAATGGCATCATTTACCTCCAACCTTGAAATGAAATTCTTCCTTTTCCGACCATTTGCCAAAGCATGAAAAAAAAAATTGTATTATTGTCTCCTTCCTTTATCCGCTTATGTCTAGATTTTTGTCTCCAACTAATCTCCTCCTTAAATATCACATCCTCCAATTGCTTCCTTAGAAACCATCTCAATTCCTTCTCTCCCAGTTCAAAATCCCCATTTCCTTCTTTAAAATCCAACTCCTCAATTTGGCTAATAAGCACTTGCTTCCTCTCTTCAAGTCTCCTGAATTGTTAGATGTTCCACTCTTTTATTTTGGCTTTCAAATACTTCAGTTTCCTATGGAATCACATGCCTTTCCACTTAACCCTTAGATGGCTTTCTTCCCACCACTCCTTCACTTTATCCACAAAGCCATTATAACAAAAGCTACATATTCTCAAATCTAAATGGGGCAGGACCTCTACCTCTAAGCTCTTCCTTGGCAATAGAAATAGGCCAATGGTCCAAAGTCACCCTAGGCAAGGCTCTTGAGACTAGATTTCCCCAATGCTCTTCCCAATCCAAAGTGAACAAAAATCTGTCAATTTTGGAACAAATTGTACTAGAGGTTGGACCAAATGAACTTATAGTATGAAAGTAGCAACTCCTTCCTCTGAAGATCATTAATAATTTGATTGAACTTCCTCATACTTGTGTTGCTTGTTTGTCTTATAGAATATAAAAATATAATTTATAATATATTTTTATGCAAAATATATTTTATATTCCATATATAATATAAGAATATACTATATTATAAAAGATATATCAACTATACTTATAAAATACAAAAAAATATTCGTTTTCCAGCTTTCGAGCTACACTCAAGCTCATTAAATATTAAGGGCCCGTTTGGCAAGTCTTTTTGAGAAGATCTTCTTGTAGCTCTAACAGTCAAAAGACGCATTGAGCTTTTGACATAAGATCTGGGCAGCCCGAAGACCGCTTGGCAGACGCGCATCTTTCTGTGTGTCGTTTCAGGTCTTTCCGCACGAGATTAAAACGCAAAAGATGCGAGAAGCTTCATTTGGAGCTTCCTGAAATCAGCCCAAATGGGCTTCTCGCGTCTTTTCAGCGTCCCGTCTTTTGGCAGCTAGATCTTCCACGTGCCAAACGGAAATAAACCGATTTTCAGTCTTCCCTGCTTGTAAATAGCCGAAAGACCACGCGGAAAGACGCGCCAAACAGGCCCTAAATCAAACTGAGCTCGAACTAGGAAATAAAGTTAGAATTGAACTCGAACTTAAGCTCAAGCCTAAGAGTATTTTAGTTAAACCGAGCCAAGACATGCAAAAGTTCAGCTAAGCTTGGCTCAATTGCACCCCTAGGCCAAAGAATTACATGAGAGTGTAGTGTATACCGATACATCTTGATAAATCTACTAACCTAGAAATAGAGAAAAAGAGAGAGAGAAACAGACAGACAGATAGAGAGAGATAGAGAGAACAGAGAAACAAGAAGACTCCAAGGTTGTTAGGGTTGATCACATGTGTCGATCCAACCCAGAAAAAATGTATTTATGTTAAAAAATGAATGGACAAGATTATTCTTTTTTTTTTTTTTTTGCTTCATGGGGCTACACAACAGGGATAGCCCATCCCCCTCCCTTTAACCCCCAACCCTAGTGGTAGTGGGATTTGATTCTAGGTCTCTATTCCAACAAGTCAGTTGAGCCACCATTAGTTGGCAATTGATAAGATCTTTTTATTGGAAATGATAACTTCATTAATGAGATTTTTAAAACAAAGACATCAACCCCTAGTATAGGGTGTTGAACCAATACAAGATGAATTACAAAGCTGCCCAAAACATATTCTCCCTAACTGCCCCCTATTATGCTAAAGTATCTGCTAGCCCATTAGCCGATCTTTTTATCCACTTAAAGCAAGCATCCACCTCCCTTGTTAAACTGTATATTTCCCTTACGAGTTGTCTATGTATCCAGGCTCCCAAACATCCTGATTGCATCCATCCAATTACCAATTTCGAATCCCCTTCTATTTAAATTTGGTGTAGCCTTAATTGTTTAGCAAATCTTACCCCTTGAAGCAAAGCCATGACCTCTGCACTCAAAGAATCTCCCACTCCTATTGGGCCCAAGTACATAGCAATTATTCTACCTTCCCCATCTCTAAATACACCCCCTATACCTGAAGGACCCAGATTACCTATAGAGCTTCCATCAAAGTTCAGCTTCACCCTTTGTTGTGTTGGCGGAGTCCACACTTCCTATACTACCCGGCTTGAAAGGTGAAGTACCTGCCACAGCACCTCAATTCCTGTATATGCCATCAGTTAAGACATTCGTAAACAGATCCAGTGTTTTCAGCCAATGAATCACCTTAATCGTTATACTTTCTACAATTTCCTCCTTGGATCTTTACTCATTCTTAAAAATTCTATTGCTTCTTTCCTCCCAAAGTGACCAAAATATAGCTACCCTTGTAGCTCTCCACATGACCCTTCCGCGCTTCTTTGATTGCCTGAAAAAAAAAATGGGTCAAAAAGGACCACCAGAACCCAAGCAGAGACTACAAACATGGGGTGAAAGACAAATGTTGGCAATGGACAAGATTGTCCTTACAAAAGAACAAAATTCAGAGTTGTACATGGTTCTACACTAATATGCACGCCTAATAATATACACACAAAGAAGATAAAAAGACAAAACTACCCCTTCTCTACACTCCCCCTCAAACTAATGTCAAGGAACAAGCATCAATTTGTCCATGAAAAAATCATGTCAAGCCCCAATCATAAATTTGGTAAAGAAATTTGCAAATTGCAAGGAAGATGAGACATTTAGGAGAGAGATGTGGTCAGCAAGCAGGTCTCTAATGAAATGGCAGTCCACCAAAATATGTTTTGTGTGCTCATGGAAGACAAGGTTGGACGCAATCTTCATGGCATTCATGTTATCAGCAAAGAAAGGAATGGAGGATGAATGATCAATATCCATATCATGAAGTAGAGCCTTGAGCCAAACTATCTCACTACATACAAAGGACATTGCTCGATACTCCATTTCAGTAGACAACTTGAAGAGTTGAAAACAACTTGTTGCTTCTTGCATTTCCAAGAAATTAGAGAACCCGACTAACCAGCATCAACATAGGCTTTGAGAAAAAAAGGAAGAGGATGACAAAAACAACCCATGAGATATTGTTCCCTTAACATAATGAATTATCTGAATGATAGCTGAAAAGTGGGGCTGACGAGGAGGATAAACAAATTGGCTAACAAGCTGAATTGCATAAGAGATATTCGTCCGAGTCATAGTTAGGTAGATAAGACTACTCACAAGTTGTCGATACAAAGTAGCATCTGAGAGGAGCTCACCATCATCCTAACTTCAACAATAATATGTCCTTGCTGTTTGTAGTAGGTGCAAAAATTCTTCTTCTTGTAGTGAGATGCTACATGCCCAAATTCTTTGCACTCATAGCATTAGTGAATCTTCATAAAATCCTTCTTCCCTTTTTGTTTGGGAGCTAGAAAAAACTAATATACATGCCATGTTATTTCTTCTAATCAGGAGAGAACTGAGTAAAAAGCCAAGTTTCCTCTCTTCATGACTCACCAAGGATCATATCCAGGTTAGGTACAGTCTCTCTACTATACCCCATTTGGCATTTTCTTGTGTTGACATAGGTACCTTTTTGACCTCTTACGGGATACTGGAATGGCTAAATGCCGACCCAGCTCTACACCTATGGAACAACAAAGTCAGTTTTGTGATTCTTCTAGCCCTCTCTTGGATGATCCTACAGAGTATCGAAGGCTTGTGGGTTGCCTTGTGTATCTCACTGTCACAAGACCCAGACTCAGTTATTCTTTCCACCTTCTTAGCCAACACTTCCAGAAACCCACTCAAGAACATATGGATGCTGATTTCTGAGTGTTACGTTATCTTAAAGCAACACCATCTCATGGCATCTTCCTCTCCTCTACAAATGACTTGGTTATCAAAGCTTTCTGCAATTTGAAGTAGGCCACTTGTCCTTTAACTAGGCATTCCACTATGGGTTCACTCACCATGTTAGGAAATTCTCTACTCTCATGAAAGACTAAGAAGCAAAATACAGTTTTTCGGTCTTCTGCTGATGCAGAATACCATGCCATGGCTGTTGCAACTGCAGAATTTATATGGTCAAAGTGAGTACTCTCTGATCTCACTATTTCTGTTAACACTCCAATGCATCTCTACTGTGATAGCTAGGCGGTCTTGCATATTGCCAATAACCCAGTCTATCACAAGCGTACCAAACACATCGAGATAGACTGCAATTTTATACAAGAATATATTACCAAGAAGGACATTGCCACTCATCATCTTCCAAGCAAAGACCAGCCTGCTGATCTTCTCAAAAAGAATTGGGTGTTGATCAATTCTCCTCTTTAACTCGCAAGTTGGGCATCTGTCCTCTACATGCTCCAACTTGAGGGGGGGCAATAAATAACAGAGTTAGTTGTAAGTCTCTTATAGTTTGTTTTGTTCACGAGGAGAAATTGGCCAGGTCGGCTTCTCATGTATTCCTCCAAATATTTGTATCGAATGAATTCATTTTGTGCGATTGCTTCTCCAGAAGTTTGTTACTTTATTATTTCCAAGGATTCTAGGGTTTTCTCGTTGGAAGTTGTAACAAAATGAACGAAAAAGGGAACATGATGAAGAACCAGAACCTGATCAAACCGGTGAATTCAATGAAGAGCTGGTACTCACACCCGAAGAACTCCTCCACTTTCTCTTTCAGCATCTCTGCCACAAATGGATAATAAAATTCAAAGATCTTAAATCAACTAAAATACTAATATGCACGCTAAAGAGTAGAAGCGTTTGATTAATGCAATGACAGATACCTCTGACGGAGATGAAAGGCAAGATGAGATGGCCACAGTTTGTGGCGATCAGGTGAGAGAGAGTAGTAGAGAAAACGTTGGGTCTGTATCCAACAGTGCTGCAGCTCTTGTATATAAACTGGAGCTCCTGAGACACTCAAATCCAAGGCATTGAAAATAGAAACCAGGAAGAGAGAGAGAGAGAGAGAGAGAGAAGAAACCTTGCAGATACCGGGGGAGAGGAAATCGTGGAGAATGAGACGGGGATGGTCGGCGTCGGCCATTCTTTTCGTGATCCACCTCTCAAGTCTCACCTCTGAAAGTCTGTAAGCTTGGCTAGCCTTTGACGAATGAAGCTTTCTCTCCCTCGGACCTTGGTCGTCTCTACCAAGCCAAGAGTGAAGACTGCCTTGAGTGCAAGCAGAAAAGTTATCTAGTCGTTGGATTGGAATCTGGTATTAGAGCGACAGTTAAGTGACAAGTGTCAATAAGTGATGCAAGGGAATTCACCTCTCACAGCACTTTCCTGCGACAACCAATAAAACACAAACACGTCATGGCATAGCCCATTATCAATTCCTAAATATTTTTAGTTTTTTATTTTTGGGAAATTGTCTAAATCTCACCGTGACTTTTAGCATTTCTCTTAAATTCGCCATAACTTCTTAAAACTTCCAAAAACCACATGTCAATAAACTTTTATTTTCCAAAACTCACCATCAGTTAGAAGACCATTAGTGTTTATTGACATAAGTTGTCCATGTCAGCATAAAAACAATTTTTATGACAAACTGCCCTTAAACGAGGATTCAGCCCTATTAAACATATTTTTATGACTAAAATGCCCTTATGTGCCTAACTGCCTTGCACATTTAATGTAAAACATTAGAAATTGTAGAAAAAACTTAGAAAATAATAAAATAATTAAATAAAAATATAAAAGAAAACTGTAAAAACATTAAAAATTGCACAAAAAATCACAAATATATTTCCAGCCAAAAATAAAAAAATTGCAGAAAAATGCATAAAATGATAAAATGATAAAAAAATAAAAATACGAATTTCAACTAAAAAAGCAAAACCTTGCAGAAAACCGGTACAAAAAATAAAAATTCGCAAATATGTTTCAACCAAAAAAATCAGAAAATATAGAAAATACATAAAATTATAAAAAACTAATTCAAAAATTATGTGTTTCAACTAAAAAAAATCTACAAACAATAATTGCAGAAAATGTAGAAAATCATACCAATTTCAAAACTAAAAAATCTAAAAACAATATTTCAAAATTATATATTTCAGTCAGGTTTCAACTAAAAACAAAATTAAAAGAAAAGAGAAAATTTGATAAAAATATTTCAAAATTGTAGAGAGCACAGAAGCTGCCTCCATTGAGTAGTGTTGGCCATTCTCTGTGACCCTGTAGACTAGAATAGGATGATGCTGAAAAACCATAATCTTCGTGGAAAGGTCTCTTTATCGAATGTCTTCCTTGTCGTCTTGTCGGGTCTCATATGGAGGGTTGGTTGCAGATTGCTTTAATGGCACTCCTCCTTGTCGTCTTATCTACCATCGGAACAAAGCTCAAGGTGAGTTCCTTGACAAAGAGAGAGGAGGCGGGGTTTCAAAGAAGAATAAGAGGATGGTGAGACAAAGGAGAAGAGGAGGTTTCGAAGAGGAAGAGGAACGGAGTGGACAAATAGAGAAGGGGCTCTGACTGCATGGACATCACCACCCCTTGGAACAAAGAAGGGGCTCTGACCACGGGCAATCGTCACAGTGGGACGCAGCTGAGCTTCTCAGGCGAGGAATCGGGTAGCAGGGAATGGAGCGGACAAATAGAGAGAAAGAGATAGTCAAGGAACCCAATGCTACTAAACAACGACGGAAACGGCATCGCAAAGGCAACATTTCAGTCAAGATGGATTGCTTTCATCTCTTGCTGCCACAGTTTCGGCCATGCCACATCGCTACAATGTCTCACCATTGAGAAAACAGTTGAACTATAAATTCATACACAAAAGTGTAGTGGATCCGAACCCCTTCACAATTTCAAAATCTCTCTCACTCTGCTTCCATACGAATAAAGAACAACGAACTATAAATTTGTGGCAATTTTCTTCTGTGTACGTCATCAACAAGTAACCTAAACCCTAAACTCTTTTACATGTTTCATAACTTTTCATCATTCATGTCTTCTTGTCTCTTGCTACTTAGTTGTCTTTGTTCTTTCCTCTTCCTTCCTCTTCTATTATGTTTGGTATTTATTTACTTTGCAAATGTTTCTATTCAAGTTGAACCTTGCAGTTGTTTCTGTTCTACATCGCTGCAATGTCTCACCATCGAGAGAACAACCGAACAATCGGTCATCATTTTTCTCTTCCTCCCTGATGAAGACGATGATGTTATTGACATGGGTAAATATAAAAAGGGTAAAATGGTAACCTACTAACATTCATTAAGTCTGTTTAATGTCAAATTACTGGCATAGGGTTTTTGAACGTTTTGAAAATTTATGGTGAGTTTAAGAGAAATGTTGAAAAGTCATTGTGATTTTTAGACAATTTCCTTTAAGGTTGGGAATGGGAGTATGATCCCCGTTCTGAACCTGTCTTGTTGCCATTCATACCACAAAGTACAAAATAGGTTCCATTTTATTCAAATTTGAAATTGAATGGATCTTATCCATTTATAATTAGAATGAAAATGGATCCAACCTATCAAACATATATGAATATTATGTATTTACTAAATCCATAGGTTAAATTAAAATGTTTGTACCACTTTCTACATTGAGTTATGCATAAGGAGATGTCAGGAAAAATGTTTTTTTTTTCCTGTCTTGATTGTCATATATGGTGCCTAGAGGCAATTGCGCATTTTAAATTGTAATAAGCTATTGTGCATTGTGTTGTGCTTTAAAACATTTCACTTTCTCAAATTTTAATACAATAATTGAAATAATCAATGTGAACTTAGCGCAAAATAGGTATTCCCCCTAATAAAGCCAGAAAATTTGTTTGATTAAGTTGTTTATAAAGATATTTTTTTCCTGGATTATTTGAGAGCTATCCATTAGGGTTTCTTCCAATGATAAGGTGTTTTTCATATATTGGCAAAAAATGATAATAAATATTTTTGAACAACTTTTCTCATTTTTCAAGAAAAGCATTGTGCAAAGTGTTTATTAGAGTAGTTACCTTCATTAGAATAGACAAAAGTATAGAACATTTAGAGTCGGCCCATTGTAAGATTTCTAATTGATCTTTACAAACGAAAAAAAAAAAGCAAAAAAAGGCGAAACAATTGATTACTTCAATATACAAAATGTATATAGTCAAAATATTTAAGAAGCTTTCAATATGACTCTAGTGGATTGATTTTATCCACAAGTGAACTTTGTTATTCTTGATAAAAAAATTAATTAGTAGAATCAAAGTAGCCAATGTATCTACTTTATGTTTATAGATGTAGCTACTTCAATCTAGGGGTGATCATTTTAGCCCAACCAGGCCCAGCCTGGCCTGGCCCGGAAATTCCGGGCATAGGCCTAGGTTTTGTGTTCAATACCAACCCGATCCCGGGCCCATATCAGGCCTGCAAATTTTAGAGCTGGGCTTGGGCTTAATACTTCAAGCCCGGCCTCAGCCTGCAAATATTTAAACTTATACATTTTATGTATAATGTATACATGTTATTTTACATTATATTATATATTTTATATATAAATATTATAACATGACATGTATAATTTATATTATATGTAATATTTTATATTATATAATATATAAAATAAAAATTCATATGCATATTATGTCATTTAATATAAAATATTATATACATTGGCCCAGAATCAGGCCTGGCCCAACTCGGGACTGTGTAAACCTGGGATAAGGCTTATGTTACAAGTTTGAAACCCTTGGCCGGGCCGAGCCCGGGCCTAAAGTATAGCCCTTATCATAAGTGAAAAGCCCAGCCCATGATCACCCCTATTTCAATCCCTACCATTAGTGTTCAAGCTTCAATATCGTAATTGCCTTTTACCCCACACCTTCATCCACTACCTTTGACAATCTCGATTGATGGACATGAATGATGAAAGTGTATCTCACGTTTATCCATGTTAAAATCAAAGGAGCCATCTATATGTAGTTTTGTAAGTTAGGGAAGATTGCAAATACGAATATGTTAAGTGCAAAATTTTTTATATGGCATTTCTAAACCTTATATTCTCATTATACATATTTGTATCTACAATCTTCCCAAACTAAGACTTATGATACAATCTTTGTGATATTTGGTAAATTTAAATGGGGTAAGGCAAAAGCATTTATGCTAGGCAAAGAAGAGGCAACTTATTCATAAGTTATAGTAGATCTGGTTTTTCGATGTGAAAAAATATTCCATTACCTGCTTTCCAAATATAGTAGATGTTAACATTGACTTTATTCAACACTAGAAATTGAGTTTCTTTGGTTGTAAACTGATGTAGTGCGATCTGACTACTCCCTGTTAGAGGATGATCTGGTTTTCAGTCAAGCAGCGAGCTAGGTGAATCTGCAAGACAGCGGATCAAAGAACACGGGGTGGCTAACCCGGCGAGATCGCTCAAATGCTTAAGTTAGTATACTATGGTGTGAGCTGAATGCTTTGAGAATTTGAGAACTGGAGAACTAGAGAGTAGAGAAATTACGCATGCCTTATGTCATTGGGGTTGGTGCCTTTATATAGTTGAGCTCTCGCGGGTTTCGCGGATCGGTTTCGGGATCTTTGTCCTGAGGGGATCCGTTTCCGCTTTAATTGGGGAGTAACAAATCAATTAATACAGTTTATCAATTCCGCCCGGTCTGGGTGAGGAGAAGATTAAGCCTGCCATTACGCGGCGTGATCCCGTGAGGTTTGGAGTCTATTGGAGAAACTTCTGGAGTCGTTACGTGGCGGTTCGGGTTAGTAGCTCCAAGCTGATACTTCGTTTCTTTAGTCCCGAACTGGATTGAATGCCAAGGTGCCCCAACGCCGAGGTGATTCTGTGCCGAGGTGACTCTATGCCGAGGTGACTCTAGGCCAAGGTGGCTTTATGCCGAGGTGACTCTAGGCCGAGGTGACTTTATGCCAAGGTGACTCTATGCCGAGGTGACTCTATGAGGAGGTGACCGAACATTCGTACTCAAACGTTGCGAACTAGGCTTGCTAGGCTGAGCTGTCATTCCTTAGTCAGGTCGTGTCCACATGTCCCCTTCTCGCTAGGTTGCGCCAAATCACCCTTCATCAATTTCCCCCCACTCCTCGTGCTAGGGGTCCCAACCCGGTGCGAGGAATTCATGAACGATCTAACTGGATTTGGCGCGGGGTCTGGACAATCTGAAGGGCGAACCGCTG